ATGTCTGTGTAGACAGTTCATTGCAATGTGTAGACAGAAAGGCTGGAAAATGCCAGCTCTGCACCTTATGTCCCTAAAAATTAGACAAGGGTGAATTTATTTGACCCAGCTTCTGAAAAGTGCATTGCTGCCCGACAAGTTAAAGTCATCTTTCCATTTCTGCCACCCCGATTCTGTGTCCCGTCCGCGAGCTCCCGCGTCCAAGTTCATCTGAATGAACACAATACTTTGTGTGCGAGAAAAGTAGTTGATGCGGACTGGAAAACGAATGAGTCGAACGATTGGTAGCCACCGGATGCGACATATAAAACCAAAGACAGACTTGATACAACGCAGGGAAGCACCATCGCACCAAAACAACGCCTGGTGGACACTACCATTATGTTAAATACAGCAGTGTGTCTGGGTAGGCATTCAAAGAGCATGGCAGTCACAGCTCCCTTTAATTGAAACAGTTTCTGATCTGGCCCCAGAGACGGTGTGACGTTCGGTTGAAACTTACGGACATGAAGCAGACCGATGAATTGGACCAATCAACGTGGTCCCTTGATTTGACAGATTCCCAGCAAAGACATTGCTTGGACGCCGACGTCAATTAGTTTTTGAATTCAGTTGATTATTGTTATTAGTTTCCGGGATGTTTAAGCTTCCTGATGCTACGCTGAGGTACGTAAGCTGTAGCAGACGAGCTGAATATGCCTTGGTGAACAGCCTGGATGTTGGTGATTTCGAACCTTGTTTAAGCGTCATATCTCAGTGTTTCAAGTTTCTTTTGTTTAAGTCACAAGCCAGCCAATCCAGCAGTTGCGATGCGTTTATGTTCGAAAACTGAAAACAAAAGGGCCGAAAACACTCTCTCGTGAGCTTTGATGTCCCTCCCTGCAGGCCCTTTAACATTTGTCCTCTCGACCACTGCGATGAACTTGATGGCCAGTTTTAGTGTTCCAAACCAGCTCTCACACACAAACTGCAAGTACAATAAACAGGGATGTGTGTTTATGTTCCCTGTTTGGCGTCCAGGGCCAGATAAACCAGCAAAACAAAGACCGGCTCTGAGCTTCCAATTGCAGTGAACAGTCCAGGTGGACTTTGCCCGGCGGGTCCCGTCCCATTCTGTCTGTGCCTATCAGGATGGACACATATAACCCCCCCCCCCATCCTCGTCCTCCACCTTGCCCAGTGCCATCTTTGGGGGTGGATATAAATATCTGTAGATGGACAGATGTGTGTGTGTGTGTGTGTGTGTGTGTGTGTGTGTGTGTGTGCTGCTGTAAAAACCTTGAGCAACCATCAAGTCAGGTTGTTGATTTCATGCAAATCACATTAGGAACATGAAATAAACCTGTAAATCCATAGGGAGAATTCTACTTTTGAGCTGTGAATTTACACGAACAGGTGATATATTTATATTATTATTGCCACCAGAGGGCAGTAAACCCTCAATGATCATTTTTTTAGTTTAGGATTTAGTTTTTTTCTGCAAAATATTGAAGATTTACAGCCTCTAGTCATTTTCCCATAAGAAAACAACAAAACTATAAGATATGTAATAATTTATTGAGTTCAAAGGTCATCTAAACCAATACATTTGAGAGATTCAGCAGATTTTTCTCCCTTAAATTTGGCCAGAAAAGATTTTTTTTTTCCTGATATTCAAAGAAAATCAAGTTCTAGTACTCAAACCATCACGCAGAGATTAGAGTGGTGGCAACAAACAGAGGGCCAAGCTTGTTGCTCCTGCTGCCGTCTTAACAAACCGTCCAGCTTCACCCTAATCAGCTGTAAAAAGTCAACCGGCTCAGCAGTTTTCGGGCGGTGCAGAGGCAGGAGTCAGGCATCGGCTGGCAGAGAGGAATCCTAATTGGTAAGGAGCTAGTGTGGCCTCATTAATCTTTTAATCCTCATTTCCTCGCCGCCCCCGTGGCCCTGACCTGCTGGCTGTGAACTTGTCTGGCCCCTGCAGCAAAGTCAAATGCTTCTTGGCCACGACGACTAACTGACTCCGTAAGAAACCTGAAAGAACATCAGCAACCTCAAAGCATCTTGGGATGTCATTAATACATTTTAATAATAATAATGATAATAGTTTCTTCATCATATTATGCTGAATCTATGCTCTCAGGAGATGTTACACATCCTCTGGTGGCCATGTTGGAGGTCTTCAGCTCCATAAACATCTGTTAACAAAGGATTATGGGAGTACTTGCATATATAAGGTAAGTAAGGTACCACAGTATGATATGATAGTGTGATACTGTTAATGTTAGTGGTGGAATAAAGTGCATTAATGCAAGTACTGTACTTAAAGGTCCAGTGTATAACCTTTAGTGGGGGGGTCCATTGGCAGAAATAATATGCATAAGTAGGTTTTCATTAGTTTATAATCACCTGAAAATATGGTTTTGTTACTTTAAAACAAGTCTTTTATATCTACAGCAGCTGCCTTCCATGGAGTCCACCATGTTTCTACAGTAGCCCAGAAGGGACAAACCAGCTCTAGATAGATATTTCTCCGTTGTACTTGGAAGAGGAGGGTGAAGTGAGGGAGTTGTGATCTGAAACAAATTTTGAGGTACTTTTTATTTTATGCAACAGATGTAATTACTTTGCACAAAGTAGACAAAACAAACCTAGTCGAAGTAGTCTAGTAGAAATCTGAAGAAATCAATACCTTAAAAGGATCTTTATTAGTTTTCTTACAAAACAACCAATAAACAAGCTTTTATAAGAAATAACATAGATTATACAGTGATTAAGATATATACAACAAGAAATATGCGTCAATATAAAACAACCAAATAAATAAATACTCATACGGAGGTTTTGGGTTTGTAGCGTAGAACCTGAACATGATGGCATTTACAGTAAAAGTCTCCCCACTGTAGCTCCTGTCCTGATGATGAAGTTTACGTTTCATGTATGACGTCTAGGGTCAAAAAAGAAACTGAACATTTAAGAAGAACATTAGTCCGAAGCAACAGACGTTTTTCTATCTCCGTATTATGCACATTTTGAAGTAAGAAAAGAGGGAAATGGCAAAATTCCATTTTACAAAATGAATCTATAATCGCTGCACACAGATCTGATGTAACCTTCCTCACATCAATATCAATCAACATCAAACAGAAATGTCACATCTCCCTCGTGTACTTGTTGCGCCCTTTCCTTGAGAATTGGCGCCACATAATGCTAATCGCATAACATTCGCATTCAATCGCATTTTGTTTTGCAGATACACTCGAAATTAGATTTTAATTTGTGATACACTTGGATGGAAACACGGCAAATGATTTAATACAGTTAAGCTTCTAGGACTCATTATAAGACACTGAAGTGTTTAAATAATGCAGAATGCATATGAAGCATCTCATTAGCCTAGCTCAGCACAAAGACTGGAAGCAGGGGGAAACTGTTAGCCTCGATCTGTTAGTCTGGTATTGGAGTTTGGAAGCATTTCTGGATAACAAACCACTTCAGTTTCATACAGTGCGTTTGCATGCACTCAAGAAACCAGGTTACTCAGAGAGATCAGGTTACATGGATAACCACCAGATTCAGTTGTAAAAACATACATTTCCCCCCACCTTCCAGTTTTGTTTTTTTTCTGCTAAGATTGGCTCTTTACTGAATGCACAGAGATGCTTTGGGTTTTCTTGTGATGATGGTCTGTGCTGATGGCTCTGGATCACCTGAAGGTTTTATTGCTGCTGACTGAACGCCAACAGTTTGGTGTTTGTAGATTGTAAGTGGGTCTCAGCCTCGCAAAATAGGGAGCTGAAAAACAAGAATATAAGGTCAGAAAATACTAAAAAGGAACAAGAGAGAATTTCAAAAGCAAACAGTCGGATAGATTCATTGGGTTCCTGTTTGCTTGCACTCTCAAGGTTCCCACTGTGATACTGATGTAAAATTCATGACTTTACCTAAAACTTTTTGTCCTTCCATATATCTGGATAAGTTTCTTACTTCCTCTATGAATTTGTGAGATTTGTATGTTTCTAGACTCAACTGCTCCAGCTGAAAGCAGAAACCAAAAGGACTGAATCCGGTGCCAAAGGAAGTTAAACAGTGAGGTATGTGTTTTGCTAGTGGCCCTTAAGTTGGTCCACCATGGTTAACACTACACCTGCTTAGCATCAGCGTGTAAGAATTGTCATTGTGAGTATGTTTCTACGCTAACAGTAGAATTTAGCTCAAAGCACCGCTGTTAGAAGGCTTTATGCTGTTAAAGATGAATGATAGTCAGAGTTCTCACACTCACAGCGAAAGAAAAATCAGCTTTACAGTCTCTGAATGAGATCTGAATCAGAATATACAGTGTTTTCAGACTGTCAGTCCACATTTTTATCTTTTTGCACAGCTTTGTTCACTGCGCCTCAATACATCATCATCTGTATCTGGTCAGTTCATGAGATTGGATGCATTTTCACATGTTTCCAGTTTTCTTTATATGCAAGTCTTCTGACACACATGTGCGCCTCGGACCAGCTTGGTAAAAATGCATTCTTTTTTTCTGTGCTTAAACTACAGTAAAAACCTGACTAGAAGTCCTAAACGCTTAACACTTTAACTCCTCCAGTCCTTCTTACCCTTCTGGAGCAAAGAGAACCTGAGTGTCCGCTCCGGCAGGCGCAGACGTTTGGTCGGACACATCGACTGCCATAAAGACACTTCTGTTCACAGTGAGCTGAGAAACAGCAGAAACAGACAAAGTCAGAAGATACAGAAGAACCAGGTAGTGCATGATCAGCCAAGTTTTTCATGGACATGGTGTATTTGGACTGGAGTGATTTTAAGAGCAGATGAAATGCGTTCTCTACATCATTATCTGAGTGTGTGTGTATTTGTTCAGGATACTCACGGATCTGACACAGCATGCCTTGCCACCCCGGGGCGCAGTGGCAGGTGTTGGCTCCTACACACTCGCCTCCGTTCAGACACTTATGCAGACAGCTGGCTGAGAGGAAAAACACCGTTAACATTTTGTGTGATGGGAAAATGGCCACGCTGTGTCTTAAACTTGATACTTGATACTTTCACCAGAAGACTTTCACAGACGGGCTCATAGATTTTTTAAGTCATTTTCTTTGTGCGTCATTCTAAACGCCTGTGACCAAAGAACGGGAAGTCAAAGCACCACAACAATGGAAGAAAGGGAGACAAAAAAGGACAGTGAGACCAAATGTTGCGAAACACGGTGAAGACCAGCGTCAAACCAGGTGTGGAGGCTTTACAGACGCCTCATGATGGATGACCGGCCATCCAGATGAGTGAACTGATGAAGGGAGGAGGGCGGGGCTACCAACACACTTCAAGCTCCAGATTTGAGCTTCTACAGCTCACCATTATCTGGGGATAATCCCCTTTTCGCTGACGTTTGGATGTCTTTTAGGCAATCGTTCCTTCAGCAGGGTCTCAAGTGAGAAGTGTGAAGGTCAGCTCAATAAAACACTGCGGACATTAGAGCTTATGGTTTCCATATGTGAGGCGCCTTTGTGGAAGCATCTGTCAGCAGAGACTGGAGACATTTGACAGTGTCACCGTTCTTGCTTCTGCTTCAGTTTGGCGAGTTTTATAAGGATGAAAAGTCCTGATGCACTTTTATTATAGTCTGACAAAGTAAAGTCAAACCTCCTCTCCTGACTCTAGGTCAGTTTTTGTATTAATCCATTTGGGATAGTGGTCTACCTTTCTGTCAGTGTATTTTTTAATGCTGCCAATCAGTAGCAATTCATTGTTTTAGCTATTTATCAAGCAAAAACGCTTCTCTACTTTTAGCTTATAAAATGTGTGTTTTTCTCTGTTTTATATAACTGTAATTTGAATACCTTTGGATTTTGTGCTGTTGGTTGGACAATGATGGGCATTTTCCACTATTTTTTTAATATTATATGGACAAAACAATGAAACTGTTTGGTAATCTCACTGTAGGAGCCATTTATATGTACTTTCTGATTTAACCTGTAGGGGAAGTATTGCTTTTCTTGGTTGGACCTGATTCAGATGAGCCAGGTGACTTTAATTAGATCAGTCTATTGTAATAGGTGGTGGGCAGCACACAGTTGTTTCTGTAAGCCATCAACTGCAGGCCAGCTAATGTGAATGTAAGTTTATCTTCTTTCACCCAAAAGGAAACGTTATCTTTGATTTAATCCATCTTTGTCTCTGATTACCCTCAAGCTCTTTTTTTAACCTCCACTTATGAGTTTTATGTTCTTGCTGGCTGGATCGTTTCTGGACAGATTGACTTACTGCTCAACAAATAAGAGTTTAGATTTTGTTGTCGATTTGGGACGTCAGGCCTACTTGGAGAGAAGGTGAAGAAAGGCAGAACATCCACTGATGCATTGTGGGTACCAACACATTGGCCTGGAGGAAGATGATGAAGGTGTTGTAAATGTAGGGAATCTGTAAATGTAAGGATCTGATTCTTGTGTCAAGGCACTTACCTTTATCACATATCTTTCCTCGCCAACCTGACGGACAATCACAAACATCTGGACCGACACACCTGCCGCCGTTCATACACATGGGCTCACACACACCTGG